TCTCTCTCTCTCTCTCTCTCTCTCTCTCTTTCTCTCTCTCTCTCTCTCTCCCTCTCTCAAAAATAAATAAACATTAATTTTTTTAAATTTATTTTTGAGAGAGAAGAGAGACAGAGTGCAAGTTGGGGGGGGGGGTGGTTCAGAGAGAGACACACACAGAATCCAAAGCAGGTTCCAGGCCCTAAGCTGCCAGCACAGAGCTGAGCACAGAGCCTGACGCAGGGCTCGAACCCACAGACTGTGAGATCATGACCCGAGCCGAACAAAGTCGGACGCTCAACCGACTGAGCCACCCGGGTGCCCCAGAAATAAATAAACATTTAAAAAATGTTTTCTTTAAAATGGATATGCTGATGTAAAATGAAGGCTTTGCACAGATCTCTGCATTTTTCAAAGCTAAGGCTATTGGGCACCAAAACCCCCAAATGGTGTTCACTAAATTGATACCAAAATGTTCCTGGCAATAGCTGCCACTTAAATAACTTATTTTCCTAAATTGAAGCATGGAATTCAAAATCCCAGGTTGAGGCCATTTATACTGCTCTGTAATATTTAGATACTGCACACAAAAGAAATCATTTGGCTTGCAGGTAGCCAAATGAAGAAAGGAATACTCAAACCGCCACCCTTTGTCACCTGAAAGCTCCCACAGCCACATGCCTGAGTTTAAACTACTCAGGGTTTATCAATGTTATTCTGAAATGGAACCTTCAAGCACAATGTGCATGTGCATGCGTGTGTGTGTGTGTGTGTGTGTGTGTGTGTGTGTGTGTGTGTGTTTTAAGGAAGAAGGACAACAATCTAGAGAGGTAGAGGAAAACATACTGCCTAAGACTGGGTGCATCAACACCCCACAGCAGTTGTGTGAGTTGTGTCGTGGCCCCAAAGGCAGGTGCTACTGTCACCTGGGAGAGCCTCTAGTGATCCCACTGAGTGAGCCACAAAGCATAAGGCCCAGGCACACTGCATTTTTATTCCTCCTAAAGAAATTTACAGGCCATTTTCTCACCCTTCCCCCTGAGCTAGGATATTGAGGTTAAAATGTACCTACTGAGTAGGTAATGTATTTGGTATTAAGGATCCATCATATGCCTATGTCTTCTGAACATAATGGTTCCTTTGGAGCTATTATAGATATGCTGTGAATAGATATTAGGAATAATACACAGAGCGGCTGAAGGAGGTCCCATATTAACTACTGTCAGACTTTGAACATTATTTGAAACTAGGCTTTTTTTTTTTAATTCCTGGGGTTTAATACCTCTATACTTTGTAAACTGAGTGCTTTTCAAAGAAAGCTCCAAATTCCTACAGAGCTGTCTTTAGGTGAGCTTTGATCTTTGCAGAGCACCTATCTTGTGTTTCTGTAATTGCTCTGGTTTAACAAGGCTCCCTAGCACGTGAAAGGGGAAAATCCTTTTATTAAGGCTATAAACCTAACTGACCACAGTGATGGAATGTGCAGCTTGGGGGTAGCCCTCAGCTCCCCAGGAAAGAAAAAAATGGGAAACTAGGGAAGTCTTCATGTTAAAACAAAATGAAATATTTATTAAACATGTTTCTGGTGTCCCAGGTGGTAAGTGACTGCCCTGTGGTCCGCTGAAAGGTTTGATCTTTGTTAAGTATTGTGAATGCAGATTTCAATAATGGGGTGAAAGCTGAGGAAGTTATGGCCGAAATTTTGGCTAAAGATGACAGCTCCAGGTTTCATGTTGCACAAAGCAGTCGAAGGGATTAAACCAACAAAGCCTGCTCAAAAGTATTGAGTTTCCAAAAGTGTAATCTTCCTATCTGTGATTCACACTCCTAGGATGGGGAGGATTCCTCATTTACTTTGACTTTGCCATATTAATCTTACTTTACAAATACATGCGGTGATTTATATCATGTTTAATTAACTGATTGAGGGCTCTAGTGGTAAAAATGGCATCGCATTAAGCTCTGTCCGTATGGCAAATTCGAATCACATCTTTAGCCTTGCAAGAACAAAATATCCCGAGAGTCACTGATGACAGGATGTAGGAATTGAAATCAGGTCCCTCCTGTTGTTTGAGAATCCAGGGAGGGTGCCTGCCATATGCCCGTCACTTCCAGGGGGGGAAATGACAGGATAAAAGAAAGGAAGGCTACAGTTCTTCCAATATGTTCAAATCTCAGATGAAAATTATTGTGCAGCCGTGCTGTACAGAGGCCAAGATTCACATGAAAGTGCATCCCAAACTTTGCAGAGAGCTTCATAGAGGGTTTTGTGATGTTTCGATTTGTTTTTTTGTTTTGTTTTACTTACTTATTTTTTTCTAAAATGGCTACCCAGTGTTTTTCAGAACTGATAGATGAAAATGCTGTGGTTTGGAGCTGAATACAATAAGCAGCAAAATAAAAAAATAAAATAAAAAAGGGAATTCTTATCCAATAAAATATATGTGCACCGTGTGACTCAGTAAAAAGCAAATTAGGTTTGACTGCTAAAAACCACATACTGGGATACCAGTTTCAAAGTTAGCATTTTTGGAAGTGGAAGTTGTCTAATATTTCTCTTCAAAAATCTGTGGTGATTATTTATGACATCTAAAGAAAAAATGTAAATTAACTGCTGATTTCCTCCAAATAATTTCTTTGAAATTTTAAAATGCATTCTGAATGATTTTAGTAAGACAGCATAATAAAAGTTTGAAAAGAAGCCAAAAAATCAGTTTTTCTCCTTAACATGACGATTCACATGTTTGTCCAAACTCTTTTACTGATTCATTATTTGCATGCCTTGATATTATTATAATCATTTTATACCTTAATCTTGTATCCTGAATTTCACTTAATATTTTATTTCACATTTGCCCTATGGTTAGCTGTCCATAATTTTTATTGAGTACATAATATTTCACCAAATTAATGTTATTATTTTTCTAAACATGCTTCCATTGTTAGATACTAAAACACCTTCTGACATTTATTATAAATAACATTAGAAAGACAATTTTATACATACGGCTCTTTTTTAATATTTTGAATGATTTCCTTATGATAGTTTCCTCATCTATCTATATAGGTAGATTCCCTACCCATAAAGTTCTTTAAACAATGTTTAAGTAAAGAAATTTTTCTTCCAAGGGCAAGTGGACAACAAAGCATTCTGTGAGGTATCACTACATAGAAAATCTTTCCTCTCTGTGGAATATAAAAACAAACAAACAAAAAAAAAGAAATTCAAACTCATAGAAACAGAATGAAAAAGTGTTTGCCGCAGGCTGGGGGAAGGCAAAAATAGGGAGAGGTTGGTAAAAAGGTACAAACTTTCAGCTAGAAGATGAATAAGGTCTGAGAATCTAGTGTAAAACGTGGTGACTATAGTTGAGGACATTGTATTGTATAATTGATTTTTGCCAAGGAAATAGAACTTAAATGTTCTCACAAATAAGTGAGTGGACGAATGAATGAATAAGTGAAGTGACAGATGTGTTAATTAACCAGATGGGGGAAATCCTTTCACAATGCATATGTCTATCAAATCATCATGATGTACACTTTAAGTATCTTACAATTAAATTTGTTAATTGTGCTTCTATGAAGCTGAAATCTAAAAAAAGAAGTTAAAATCTTACCTGAAGTTAACACACAATCCAAGGATGATGGCCTCCTTTTTGTAGCAAAGTATTGGCAACATTCAAAAGCATTTCAAGTCCATGTTGTGTCCTTCCCTGCTGCGTAAAAGAAGGGTAGGATAACAATGAAACAAAATCAGAATTTCCTACTTTATTTTCCTCACCATTTACTAGTTCTCTCTAGAAATAAAAGCGTCCCTTTAAGTATAGTTAAAGTTTTGAAAATTTACAAGTTTCCTAGGGAGTATTGCAAATAGATTATTAGACCAGAACACAGTTAACTTTTTCAAATGGCCATTATTTTAGTTATACCTTAAGTGTGGTCCTAATAATTAATAATCCTAGATGTTTTCATGGCATTAATTCAGAATATGATGAATTGGGTAAGTTAGGCAATATATTTTAACTAAAGCTACTTTGGATTTTGACAAGAAATTCAAACTTTTCAACTGTGGTCTGTAACGGCACAGGCAGCTTGTAAAAAGAATAATCACTTCAACTTTTTCAACTTCCTGAAATCACTCAAAATAGAGTAGTTCAAGATTGTTTCATTTGGAAGTAATAAGTTCTAAAACACAGTGTGCTGCAGTACATTTTAATTATTGGTTTCCATTCTCAATGTACTAGATTTTATTAACCATCCCTTGTGTATTTGTTTCCAAAATATGTATAAACCCAAAACTGTTATTTGCAACCTTTTATCAAAAAATTATCTGATTTATTTAATTTGGTCTACAATTTCAGTTCAAGTTCAGTTCAAGTCTGTATTAGGGTTCAAATGACATATTTTTAAAAATAATTTCGGAGGCCAGAAGTGCATTCCTCTTTAGATGGCTTGTTCCAGTTGATATCATTATTGGTCAGGTAATGTGACATCTTTTGTTTCCCAAGTTTATTCCTTTCAATGACATCTACGTCTTCTGCACAGTTTAAATACGAAAGATAAACATTCCCTATGAGGCACTGGAAGGAGAAGCAATTAATGTGAATTTGATAAAACATAACGTAGTGGACTGACAGTAAAAAGGCTATGCTTATTTGATTGTTGACTAGTTTTGTCTTTAAATAATGGTCTTCTTTTGGCATTTAATGTATATTTGTTCGCAATAAACATAATTTATGAATATTTTAACACATGTGTACTCAGTGGGGTGGATTATCATACTGATATAAATAGAATTAATGAGCAGTCAACCTGCCACATGTCATGACATATGACAGGGCAGCTAGAGCACAGAAATAATTCTTGTAGTTTCATAATAAGGCTTTTTTCTTAGTTCGACTTTTTAAAACTACTAACAACCTTTATTTTCCTTGTATTTTGGAGTATGGTTCACCAACTAGGAAGCAGAATTCAGGTTTTACTACAAGAACCTACTTTTTAACATTCAAAACACTATTTTCTTGCCCTCTTCAGAACATAATAAATATACTTTCACAAATTAACACTATTCAGCCAAATTTCAGAGAATAGGTCACAGACTGACAATCATTTTGCCCATTTCAACTAAAAAAAAAAGTCAATATATTCTTCTTCTTTTCATTTTGTGGCAATAGTATGATCACGCCCAGCTGCTGATGCCGGATACCAGATCTTTACAAGAACAAGAACCTTCTAAATGCTCCTAAATTCGAAAACAAATCTGATGGGCATATCGCCTGGATAAAATTGTCCTGAAGAAAACATCTTCTTAGCCAGTTATTTGCTCTTCTTGCTCACAAAGCAACAATCTGTTAAGCGTGCCTAATAAGATTTTTTTTTTTTTTTTTACGGAATAAACCCAGTGATCTAAAGCCACCTCTTCAAACAGTAGGTATGGGGGTGAACAGAGGCATGCAAAATCTTCAGTTTAACCATACTTCATTTGACAAAGAATTATTTTCATGAGGAGGCAAATTGAAATTTAAGATTAACCTTTATTTTCTTTTATTATTTTTATAGCTTGATTATGGGTAAAAATGGGAAAAATTAAACCAGCACTGCATTGTCTAGATGATCTGGCAGGAGGAGAGCCTTGGCAAAGATATTATGCCATGACTTTTTAGAGACACAGATGGCAGGGTTGCAGCCTTTATTCCTCTTATCCTTTATTTTCAAAGGGAATATTCAAAGCTTTTTGCCTCCACCAACCCTCCACCCCTACCTTCACATTTAAAACCACTGACTTCCCAAACCAAAACTCTGTCCTAAAGCTGGCAAGCCCCAGGATACTTTAGGGAAATGACTGAACGGGACGCCATGCTTCTGGTCATCTGTCAAAGGAGAGGACTGCACTCTATGGGGCTGGGGGCTGATGAACTTCTCTGGAGTGACTCCCTTGGGGAAATCCAGCACTTTCACCGGCAAAGAAAATGGGCACCACCTAGTGCTTTTTTGATGCAAAGGCTGTTTGTGCTGGTGTGGATGTGAGTGGGCATGCGTTGGGTGGCTGACCTCTACAAAGGAAAAAAGAAAGGAGTCGCTTGGTTCCAATCTCTATATCCAAAACAAAAGAAAAAAAGAAAGAAAAGAACAGAAGCAAGTGACAATCTTAAGACAAATGAATTCAGTGCTTCCACATCAGGGATCTCCTTAGGACTGTTTTTCATTTTTTTTTTTTTTTTAATGATTGTTGGTCTGTTCATGAGAAATAACATTTTTACTTACTAAGATGCTAATTTCCCCTGTATCATTTTTGCCTCTTCATTTCTTCTGCTGTTAAGTTGACAGAATTTCTAAGAATTTTCATTTCATCAAAGTGAAAAAGCAGGGCATGCCATCCCCCCCTCCCAAATCTATTCTAATAAGGAGCCTGTCTGGAGTTCTCCTAACACAACAAATAGCTTTTATGAAAAATGGTTTGTAGCACAAAATCTTTTGCAACGCAATAAGATCAAGTTAACCCTCATGCCTCTAGGAAAAAGCCTTGGAAGTTTTATCTGATTGGCAAAATGGACCCAGATATGAGTTCAAGGATTGAGTACACTTTGATGAAATTTCATAGCAATGAAGTCTGATTATCTGAATGACTGCTTAAGCCCTTTAAAAAATAACTCAGAGAAGCACTGTATTTTTTTGTTGGGAAAACAGATGGTCCTGCAGGGAATAGTAGCTCTTCCCTATAATAATAGCTATTCCACACTGTTTGCTTTTTCTACAACACTTTGCTTACCACTATTGTTCTAAAAAAAATAACGATGATGATGATTTCTCTGTTGCTAAAGGTGAATAGTTCTGCAATAAAATTAGAAACCTTAGTATAGGCAGGGTGGAGGGTAGATATAGGAAAAATGAGTAACCTGCTACATATAACCAGATTAAAAGGGCCTGCTACACATCCAGGAACTAACTAGCCGACTTTGAACTCATTAAGGATCTGCTTATCCGATATGTTGCACAACAGAAACCAGACAGAAAACAGACTTCGAAGAAACAGACAAAAATGATTATAATTGCTCTCCGGTAAGAGCTCAGTGTCTGTGCTAAGCAACCTGGGTATAAAGGAATGAAGGAAGCAAAACCCCAGATTCTGAACTTTTCTCCTTTGCCTTCAGCAAAATCCCCCCATTATAAGATGGTGATAACATTATTTAGAGACAGCACTTGGCAACTGTATTATGAACTAAGTTAAAAAATCTAAAGCACTCTCATATCTTTAGCCATTTTATTGTTATAATTTGAGACATTAGATAAGTGATTTCTTTAAATTTTAAAATTTAGAACACTGGTAAAAAAAAATCTTAAAATGTGTTTCTTCTACAAGCAGCAAGAAAAAAAATAAAATGAGCTGATTTCTTTGGGATTTCTCTGGTACTAAAAATATATATGTTGAGGTTTATAACTAAAGAGAAGATCTTGTCTTGACAGATTTAAGATGCACATGAACTGATCAGCAGAAGCCATGGGTGTGGCTGAGCCTGTGTTTTTCATATGTGTACCTATGGGATTAAAGAGGAAGGTGGCTATGGTAATCACCTTTTAAATGAAAGCAGTATCACATTTTGCATTCGAGTTGAATTCTTCTACTATCAATACCACTGCCATTCTGGTCAGCCTCATAAACAAACAGACAAAATCTTGCTTTTTTATTTCCCTCCCTCTCTGGCTCATCCAGCCTCTCCTTTTCTCTCTGGCCTGCTTTCTCTCTCTGAATGCCATAGTTCACACTGAAACCCTCTGGTAATGACAGCCCTGAAGTGATAATGTACTTTCCTGCCTTCCTGTTAACAGTAGCACTTGATCCCACCATGGGTGCCAGCTCAATGGCAGAAGGATGCTTTCGTATATTCTAGAGGTAAAAGGGACCGGTTTGATTTACTGCCTTGACTAACTCAGCAGTTTCACAAAGTTCAGGCACAAAGATAGATGTTGTATTAAAGAAGAAGAAAAGGAAAGAGGAGAGGGAGGAAGAGGAAGAGAAAGGAAGGAAACCAGGAGGGAGGGCAAGAGCAGAATCAGTCTATTTTTTTTGTTATAATTCTGTCAGCAAAACCAAATATGTTTTTTTTTTCTTCTCCCTGAGATTCACAGGAACATTCCACACAGTAAACAAGGAGTTAAGGTGAATAATACCAAATAAAAACATGGGACTTGGAGGAAGAAGAAAAAAAAAAAAACATAAAGGATCTGTTCCTGTGGTAATGTGGGTTCTGTGGAACAGCGATGGTTATCGTGAGATAATGCATTTATCTTCTTATTCCCCCTCCTTCACCTCTGACAGGGGCCCGTGGCCTTGGCACACCTGGTCTGGTGACATCTGAGCACCAGTCAGTCAGCTCAGATGCTCAGCGTGCCAGAGTAGCCCACTGTCCTCACACCACCATTTTTTTTTAATTTTGTAAGTTTTATTTATTTTTGAGAGAGAGAGAGAGAGAGACAGAATGTGAGTGGGGGAGAAACAGAGAGAGAGACACACACAGAATCCGAAGCAGGCTCCAGGCTCCGAGCTGTCAGCACAGAGCCCGACGCGGGGCTCGAACCCACGAACCGCGAGATCATGACCTGAGAGGAAGTCAGATGCTTAACCAACCGAGCCACCCAGGCACCCTGTCACACCAGCATTTTTAATGGATAGTGTGTCATTCTGCTGAGGTAACCCAAACTGAAAACAATCAATAGT